GTTGGACAACAACACACACACAAAAAACACATTTATACATTTTTTTATTTCGGTAATTCCACTCATGGTCGGAAACCCACACAGAACGCGGCAGTAAGAGCGATGTAAACGTCATGTTAACGTTGGCGGCGTCAGTCGCACAATGGAGGAGTTCGTAGAGTCAGTAGAACAGAGGCAGCATTGCACAGGTAAAAACACATTCGTGTCTTGGAAATTCTTCTCCCGACGTAAAATATAAAAGAAAATAACAAGTATAAAATCGCCTACAAGTTAAATGTCAAACCAGAGTTATTGGCATTGGTGAAAACACCCTGCATAGACTCATGATGTCTGGACTACTGTTCTATAGAGACCTGCCACATGAGGGGACACGCACACAAACACAAACACACACAAACACACACACACACCTTCATCATCGTCATCAACCTGAGAACGTGCGGACCACATCTCCTTCCGTAGTTACTGCGTGGACACCGCTGTCCTCCCGTGTGCCTCGTGTGGACCGTGTTTTCTCTTGTACGCTGCATAGACCGCGCTTCCTCCTGTGAGCCTCTAAATCAGAACTAACACCAAAACTAAAACCAGGACTAACCCAGTCCAGGACTAAACCAGGACTAACCTGTTACCATCCACCTAATTTTGGTGTGTGCACAATAGCACTACATACCCAAATGCCCAAGCTTATTAAAAGAAAACCTTAGAACCCACATGCTTGTGTGAGGCACCATTTTAAAGCTTAGGCCTTCTAGTTTCTGTAGATATGCATATGAAGACTGTGAGTGCTGCCTAACCTACAGTACAGTCAATTAAACATTGTATTTTTTTCTTCGAAAAAAAAATTGAAAAAAATAAAGGCCTTAGCTTGGTCATACTTCATGCTAGGCATTTGTGACTCACTACACTCATTGTTCAAGTTGTTGGCAACAACTGTGTAGAATCTCAGATCTCTAGGACAAAGGGTTTTGATGCTGTGAGCCTTTGTGTAAACAAAATGACAATTCGGCACAAGATTACCAAATTTGTGCCAAAATAATAATAATAATAATAATATAATAATAATAAAATAATTATTATTATTATTATTATAACACAAATTCTTCTGAGCTTTAGGCATGTTTTCTCAAGAAAAAAACCTAAAAGTAGCCAAAATTGTCCTCCAAGTGCCAGATCTGCCCTCTGTGGCCCCTCCCGCTCTGCTCTCTGTGTCTCTCTCTGTTGCGCTTGTAAACACAGCACCCGTTTCAAGGACTACTGCATGTCCCACCCACCGTTTGAAAGCTCTGCTGATAGTCTGTTTTCACATTTTGGGCTGTTCCCTTTTTTGTTGTTTTTTTGTTTGGTAATTCCACTCATTGCTGGACACTAAACCAGGTCTAAAACCAGGTCTAAACCAGGACTAAACCAGGTCTAAACCAGGTCTAAACCAGGACTAAACCAAGACTAAACCAGAACTAAAACCAGGTCTAAACCAGGACTAAACCAGAACTAAACCAGAACTAACACCAGGACTAACCAGTGATCTCATATATAAAGCATTTCTCTATCAATAATATTTTTAATATGGTTAAAGAAAGACTGAGTTCAGATTTCCTGGTCTTTGTTTCTCTACAGCAAACATTTGCTTATTCATGGAGACTTGGGCTCAACAGTCAGTTTGAAGAGAACAAACAAGAACAACATTTGCAGGATGTGGTTGCTACATTCATGTAGTTTTAAAAAGCATGACAATATCAAATAATCCAAAGTATTCAGATTACGTTACTCACTTTAAATAATTTAATGGATTCCGTTACAAACTACATTTTGGGGTATGTAATCTGTAATCTGTAGGGGAATACATTTTAAAAGTCACCTTCCCAACACTGCAGATTAGTAACAATAATAATAATGATGATACTGTGGAATGAAAGTGACTGCATCTGTTAAAGTTTGTTAAACAATAAATGACTTTATAAAGTCACTTTTTTTTGTTCTATATCAGTCTTTTGATCTGCCACAATAATGTAATAATGAATTTAAATGAAAATACCTCAAATTGAAGCTTTTCTCAGCAATTTTTAGGTGAGATTAAAAAGAGATTAATTACATTAATTAATTACAGATCATAATTAATTAATCTCAAATTTTTTTTAATCGCATGACAGCACTAAAATAAATAAATAAATACATTAATTGACTCATGATATGATTTTTTTTCTTTTGGCATGTTGCCTACCCCCAGTACTAACTCTTGATTCAGGGCAAGTGCTAATCATTTTATTGTGCGCCTGTACATCCTTATGTTGACCTTGAAAACGTGACTGGACATGTGTTTTATGAAAGATGGAAAGCAATCAGAAATAAGAGTCTTTGTGTCTCAGGGGAGTCCAGGCGCTGATGGGCCCTCAGGAGCAGCAGGAGAGAAAGGACAAAAGGTTGAACTCTCCTCCCCTCACACACCAAGCTTCACATTCAGATGTCTGAACACACACACCTAATACTGTGTGTGTAATACAGGGTCCACCGGGCTCACCTGGAGATACTGGACCACCTGGACCAGATGGAGCACAGGTACATGTACATTTAAAACCAATAATCAAGTCTAGCATTTGAGTTACAGCTCTACACAAAACAAAGACCAAACTGGAATAGAGCTTTAGACATCTGCTCTGGATGTTGCCCAGTTGCAGACCAGAGAAATGAAGAAGCATAAGGGTGTTTTTACATAGATATGGTTTAGAAAAGACCACCGTGATCAAGTCAAGTCAGAATGAGTCAGTCTTGTGCACTTAGGGCTGTTCTTTAGGACATATGTGGAAGTGTCTTACATATATTCTGGAACAGAGTAAAGCACCTTCCTCTGAAGACATTTACACATTTTTTTCTTAGGGTCTGCCTGGTTCTACAGGGTCAGAGGGACCTCCTGGACAGAAGGGAGAACAGGTCAGTGCACCCATAATCTTCAATATGATCTTTGTCCTTTGTCTGTTGTAAATGGTCACAGTACATGTAACACAGTGTGTCATGCTGTGACACAGGGTGAGCCTGGATCATGTGGGAAACTAGGACCTCCAGGACTCCCAGGAGAAAGGGGGGCAGAGGGACTCAAAGGCCCTCCAGGACCAACAGGACCATTCGGTAAAGAGGTGAGTCTGCACAGACTGATATGAATGAAAACTTTATTTATGATGTCAAATGTGACATTGTTTCAGAAAATGAGGAAGTGTGTGTACTATACGTTCATTCAAACAGACGACAACAAAAAAACACGTTGTAACAGGAGTGAGGAAGGAGTCTAGTTAGTTAGGTTCATGTTGCAAACAGTATTTTTTATGTTCATTGTTTCAAAAGGGAGATGTTGGTGTTCCTGGTGACGTTGGAGACGCGGGACCCAGGGGAGAAAAGGTAAGGCCAAAAAACCCCTAATATACATGTTAGGAAAACTGATGTAGTGAACGCTTGTAATTAATCAAATGTTTAGGGTGAGCCAGGACCTCCTGGTATATCTGGTCCAGAAGGCCCCTGGGGGCCCCTTGGAGCAAACGGGGAGCGAGGCCCTAAAGGAGAGATTGGTGACACTGGACTGCTGGTAAAGACCTCACATCCTAAACACATAATACATGACATAATGTGTCAGTTGCTTTGAGTGGGCCTGACACAGAATGTTACACTGTATTGATCCTCAGGATTGTGAATGAGTCTGTGGGGTGAGTCACAGATTGTAGAGCAGATTGTTGTTTTGTTCTTCCAGGGAGAACCGGGGCCAGTGGGAGACGTAGGGCCCACAGGACTGCATGGGCCACAGGTGAGCCTGTTTTGATGTAAATATTGACTGCTGTGAATAAAAGCTCACTGGTATTGTTAGTGCTGTATCACACCTCCATTGATCCATCTTTAAAATGACTTTGCTCTCTGCTGTCGTGTCTGGGCTCATGTCAGGGCTCCCCGGGTCCTCCTGGAGCTGTGGGACCAGATGGACCGCAAGGACATAAGGTAAAAGGAGAATAATACTTCATGTAAATGCACCAGCAAACAAATGTGTCCCGACCAGTTCCAGTCACGTACGCGTTGTCATTATATTAGTGGCTGAGTCGTGCTATAGGCAGTGTTAGGCCAATGCAGTACAATAGTGAGTTATAAGTATAAGAGCTGATGATGAGTGTACAGGGACGCACTCGAGGTCTGGGCAAACACTTTATTTGCAGAGCAGCAGATTTCTTCCCAAAAATCTGTTGAATTTTCATAAAAGTAATGAAAACCATAAGACCAGGTATCCTGGGTGTCCTGACCAAAGTTTTAGGCAGGATTGTCCACAGCCTGGTGCGAGGCTACAGCTCACAGACAGTGTGCACTGGAGCACAGAGAAGCAGCAGCAGAAGGGGACAGGGGCTCCATATATCTATATATAGATACATATATAGATATAGATAGATATAGGGTATGGGTCACACAGAACTCACTGTGAGCTCCTCACACAGAGCTGAGCCTGGTTTGATTGGCTGTGATGTGGTGCAGAAAAATGTGTTACAATCAGTGATGGTTTTGTGAAATGTACTGATTGAGAGGAGCCTCCTGTTGTGTGATATGTGAGCTGTGTGCCTCATTTTGTACCATATCATGTCATCTACAGCACGTTTCAATAGAAAAGGACTGTGAGCTTTTCCAAACTGCATGATGATGTGCTCCACTCCTTTTAAATGTCACACCTAAACTGCCTCTGGCAGTCACTCTGTAAGGATCAGTGCAACACTATTGTACAAAAATATATCATCATTTGATTTTAGTCAGTATCATCCTTAATTTTATTGAATTGAAACATTTCAGAATGAACAAAATAAATATTTTTATTAAACAATATTCTGTATGTTATTGATATGTATATGTAATTCTTTATTCCTCATGAAGTCTGGATGAGGATGTCCAGTGATATTGTGTAGCTGCTGCATTGGTGAAAGTCTTATTCTTTTTGTTCAGGGTGATTCTGGCTCCACAGGGCCGCCTGGAGAGCCTGGTATGGTTGGGCCTCAGGTAATGTGTTGTTATTCACTCTGAGTCACCTTTCTTTCTGTTACATCATTTATTTTCATGTTCATGCACTAATCATCCCTTCTACAGGGAGCAGCAGGAGCTCAAGGAGTCAGAGGAGAGACTGGCAAACTGGGGCCCCCTGTAGGTGTTTGACACATGAATATTTTATATATTAATCTAAAAATACTAATATAGCTGCCACCGGGGTTTGAACTGGCCCCTGGAGACATCACCCCTCACGTTACAACAGTTAAAAGCATTTCCATTAAATGTTATTAAGATAAAACAGCTGCATGTTGATCTGTGTGTGAGAAAATGTGCACATATGTTTATGTGCCCATAAGACAGATGTTTTATAGAACCTGTAAACAAACTAATGTTAGTATTTCTCTAGGGTGCAGTGGGTCAGCCTGGACCTCAGGGAGAACAAGGAGCTAAAGGAGAACCAGGACCACAAGGAGAGAAGGGAGAGCCAGGTCATCTGGGACCACCAGGTGAACAGGTGTGTGCTTTAATACAATCCCTAGGACTTCAGACATGATGTGTGTTCACTACTGTGATGAAAACCAGTGAGGTGTTCTCATGACATCTGATTGTTGAAAACTGTCCAGGGAGAAGAAGGCTTACCAGGAATCCAAGGTCCTCCTGCCCTGCCAGGACTGGAGGTACACTTTTGTTATTATATAAATAAAGATACAGTTTGGAAATTTTCTAATAAAAAAAAAAAATATATATATATATATATATATATATATATATATATATATATATAAAAATATAAAAACATCCACTTGGGTCACTTTTAGCTTCCTAAAACCTGGTTTAGCATCTCTGCAAAGTTTGAAGTGTTTTTTTGTGCGTTAGGGGTCCCCAGGTGAAAGTGGAGCCCAGGGCCCAGCAGGACCCCCAGGGAATCTAGTAAGTGTCACATTGCCTCAAATATGACATGTATTTAGAGAAACATATAGTTTATCATTGTGTACGGCTGTGGTAAAAATCATAAGAGTGATAGATCCCCATCTCAACTTTGGCCGTTGTTAATGATAAGGCAAGCACATTTTAATCAGGCTAACAGGTTTGAGTGCACGTGGTGTTCATAAGGATTTAACGCTGTCTTGTTTAGGAAAAGGCAGACAGGGCCACAATGCGTCTCTTTATTTCCTCATGAGTCCTCATGTTTCACAAGTTTCCACCTAAATCTGCACAATTTGACTAAAAGTCCAGTGTTTCTCTCCATCTGCCTCTGTGTGTGGTGCCATCTGCCCTGCTCCCTCTGTGATCCAGCTCCTCACCTTTTCTCGTCTTTCTCTCCTCTTCTGCTTCTGGTCATTATAGTCCAAGTTACAGAAAGTAAACAACTGTTTTCACACCTTTTATGAATGAAACTTAAGTCCTAATTTATCATTGCAACACATTACACATGTTTCTGTAACATGTTATAACGCAATCAGCATGAAGAAAATATCGATCAACATGAAAAAAACAAATCGTGATTCTTTTTTCCCCATATGTCATTGTGACTGGACTCTAATTCACAGGGTCCAGCTGGAAGACCAGGGCCTGAGGGAAAACCTGGACCAAAAGGAGAAAAGGTGAGACAATTATCCTTCTACACTGCACATTTGTATGTTTGTATGTCAGATGCATCGTTGGGTCTAATATTCTGAACAGATGCAGACACGACAATAATCTTTCTTTCACAGTTGAGTTTTCAGGAAAAGACGTTCACATGAGTCGCGGCGCTCCATTAGCCTGTATCCTAAACTTTTTTCCATGACCAAGATGGAGAAAGCAGCATGTTACACACTCAGAAGTGTGCACAGAAGCTAAATGCACTGCATCAAGTGCTAACAGCTACTCAGTAGTGGATGTGCTGTTATAAAGACAATATTATTATAAACTAAGCCCTGTCGCAGAAAAATTATGGAGTTAGCCATTTAAATAAAAGTCATAATTTCATTCTGCACTAATTTCATAGAAATGGTAAAATGTATAATAAAACATAAAGAATCTCAGAAGTGTGATCAAATAAAACTGTGAGACAACCATAGATCCCCACCCCGACCTCCTACTGTGCAGAACCACACAGTACACTGTCCTCCTGTGGACTCGTCAGTGTGTAAATGCTCTTTGTGATGTTTCTGTGATGTTTCCATGACGTTTCTGTGCTGTGTCTGTGATATATACAGCTATAAGGAAGTATTCAGACTTTCACTTTAATCATGTGTTCTGTTTGTCATCTCTGAAGGGAGACGATGGAGAGACTGGTCCACCTGGGAAAGCAGGTCACATTGGAAGGAGGGTGAGACCAAAAAACTCTTTTCTGGATTTAAAACTTTAGAATAGAATAGTTCTCTTGAAGGTGTTTTCATACAGAATGGTTAGGTCTTATAACTGGCCATTTGGAGACTTTGCAAAATATTTTAACTTTATACAAGAGTGGAAGGAGCACCCCCTCTTGACTGTGTCACTAAAGTTTTTGTCTGTCTGAGCTGAACTGAGTACATTTCTCTCCAGTCACTAGTGCACTTATCTGCAGTGTGCAGGTCTACCCCTTATATCCTCTATTCACTGCCAGACTTTTTCTTTTTCTCTATTTTTTTCTTACAGCAAGTACAGCCTCGGAAAATATTGAACTTTTCAAGTACCACCTTGAAGGGACTGAATTAGAATACATTTGCATCTGTGGCTTGTCTCTGACTAAACCTGGACTAACATGGTCCACATAGAAAAACAGAAGTGTAGCACTAAACCAGCAGCACCAGATAATCATATGATGGTACCAGTAGCTCAGAGCCACTGGTCTTTGTTAGAAAACCTGTACTTTGTAACGCATTAAAAGAAGCCCTGCTCTTTCTGCTTCAATGATCCTCTTTGCAGCCCAAAGTTGTGAAGCTTTATAAAATGTAAAATAGAACCAGTGGAGTCGACACCGTCATATTGAAATCTGCCCTTGTGCTTGTAGTATGAGCTGAAATATCCTGAAAGTATTGGCCGGTGTGTGCACCGTCATGCATTAAACATAAGCTTCTGCTGACTCTCATTGAAAACCATGGCACTGATGTCCACAGGGCAAACGAGGCAAAGCCGGTGTACGGGGCAGGAGAGGAGACAGAGGACCAAAGGTGAGAGCACACTGCTAACAATCCAGAATTACAGGGTTACAATTCATCTGAGTAACTCTGATTAATCCATTATTAAATCACCGTAGACTTACATAATCACTCATCGTATTCTGGACCGCACTGACTCACATACAAAACACATGCAA